CGAGGAATATACAAATATGCTAAAATTGCTGATGAATTTTTCTTATTATATTCATGCGTTTGGTTTAGTAGTACCACATTTAGAGATCAATATTGCAACATATGAAAATTATTTATTTGAAATCTGGGTAGTTTGCTTCTTCACTTGCCTTATTTGGGCAGTGGTTGGGGGGCGAGGGCAACTTTATATGATTCCCAATCTAACTGATAAATCTTATGCAATGTTGATCTCTTGGCATATATGCTGTGGCCTAAAACCAATGTTAATTGGGTTAAAACATTGTCGAACTCTTTATCTTCTTCGATAGAATTATATTTGTTAACCTCTTTTGCATTGTGTTTGCAGGGCAGAAACATTGGGCATTATGCAATAAATGTGGGCGACTGAGAATTGTAGAATTTATTTATTGCGACTTGAATTAGATATTGAAGAGGTGCTGTTAAAGGCCTGATGCGAGCCTCCAACACACTTCTGTTAAGACAATTGTATTTCAGAGATTGTAAAATAGTAGGAACCAAATTTACTCGCAGTTCAGATTCGGGCTGTCAATTTCGAATTATGGTGCAGCCCATGATTCATAAGTGCTGGCGATTCACATTTAAATTCGGTTTAGCACGTAACTTACTATTTTTAGACTGACGTGCCATTTCATAAATTTGGGCCCATGTCATTCTATAAGAGGGGCTATTGCCCTCTATGACTGACTAATAGACATTTTCTATACAAGCACTCTCTTTAGTCATACATTACTATTTCTGTTATAGGGTAGGGTACTATAATTTCGGTCTGTTATATGGTCAAGAGGTTGGCTTAGAGTGGATGGAGAAGGACTCCGAAGAAGCCTCTTTATATCCTGACTTCTTGCAGGATAAAAATCTGAAAAAAATAATAATAAATAAATAAATAACTGTTTTTTACTTTCATATTTGGCCGAGTAAGTTAACTTTCCTTTTATGGGATGTTTGGTTGAAATGGGGAGTAAAGTTAGCTAAGTCAAGATTCATGTTTGGGAAGTGGAGTTAGCTAAGCTAAATATATGTTTGGTCGACAGTTTTGTTATAGTAAAATATTATTCTACCTCTAGATTGCGTGTTTTAGATTATTACTCTTATGAAAAGCAAACTATTGTCTTTTTTGGTTAAGATTTTGTTCTAAAAGGTTTTCGCATTGCAGTAGCGTGAGTGCAAACATTTCTGCATTTATTTATTTATTTATTTTTCTAAAAAAAAATTTGGACAAAATGATTCAATTTGGGTAAAATATGTTGATTTATTAGTTTTTTTTGGTGACAAGACTCTCTCCTTCACTCTTTTCCTCGGGCAAATTTTGCCGCACCGTCTCCCTCTTTGCTAGTAGCTGTTGTTGGAAGTCCTCATTGAAAGCCTTCGTCCTTCCAATTTATCTGGAATCAGGAATGAGGAATGACGTTATCCCCTTTATGTTTGGAAGTTTCTCGTAATATGACTTGTTCTCTTTGGCTTACGGGACTCATTAGAATGAGAACATTCCTGTTTTGAATGAGTCAAGTGCGTTCTTTGTTTCAAATAGATCAACGACTAGCAATGGTTCGAGAGCCTGATCACAAAAAAAATATTATTAGAATATTATATTTTATCGACTATATTAAGTAATTTAACTGTGATATTATCTCCCTATTGGTCAACTAACAATAAAGAAGTTTGAGGGACAGAACATTTTCTCAAACTTAGGAACTAGAAGTGCATTCTAACCACAACCACCAACCTTGTTTCTCGTATTTTGCCTCTAAAACATTTTTCTCCAAACAAATGTTATGCTCCTGAGTTAACATTTCTATTTTAGTGTTCAAGTTGATAATCCTATTTTCCTAGAAATTTCTCAGATTAATGATTACATATTTCATTCAAAATTTACACACCAAAGTGGACAGAATTCAGCCAAAAAATACTCGCATTCAGTTACAAAATTAAAATTCTAACTTGGGTAGAGAGGATGACCCTACTGTACATATCTGTACATTTGATCATCAACGACTTGCTGTGGAGGTTAGAATGCACAACCTTCTCTCATATCTTGGACTTTCACCCATATTTTCCGACAATGCACCGAGACAAACAAAAACCTAAGATAAAACAGAACTTTCATAATTACTATAAAAATTTGCTAGTCAGCTACATCCTCTCATAGAGGAAAGCTGTGCTGCGGAGGTTCAATTCAACTAATAGGGAGCTTATCGGTCGTATGCAACATTCGACTGTGTCTTAGACTGAAAAAAGACACACCTTAACTTTCTGTATTTGGAACTGCAGGGGATGGGGGTTTCCAAGGGAATATAAACACTGCTGATCCGATTTATTAACTCAGAAGCCAGATAATCCAGCAAAATGTTTATTCATGGCTCTGTCCTTCCTGTGATGGTTACCCCCTCCTCCCCCCCTCCGTCCACGGCCCCTGTTCCCGCCTCTCCCTCTGTCTGAAACCTCAGCCACATTTGATTGTTTACCTTGTCCTTCAGTGATGGCTGCATCTGTTCCACCTTCCCTCCTTCCTCTTCCCCAGGACTTCCGTACACCATCTCTTGGATCTACTGCAGAAACAACAGGTTCGCTATCCTGCTCCGACTCTGTCAGTTTTCTTACTGCCCCAAGCGGCAAGTTGCCTCCACGTCCAAGTCCATAAATCAGTTCTTTCTGAGCTTGATTAACTAAGGATGCCTCATCAGAATTGGAAACTGCAATCGAACCTGCAACCTTGTAACTATAATTCTTACCATCCTTGACATAGAATTGTGGTTTACTCCTAGATCCCCACTTAGAGTTGGAAGCACTTTGAGCCGAACTTCCACGCATCGAGTTCGAAGAGTTACCCAAATCTGAACTCAGCTTTTGACCCACCAAGTCTTCATTATCTTCTGTAGCTGTCTCTGCTATACTGATACCAAGATCATCGAAAGAGTCGTCATACTCATCTTCATACTCGTATTGAGAAATTAAAGCTGCAGTCCTCACTGTATCTGCTTCATTTCTCCTGTCGAGGGTCTCTGAGTATGGTGACTCATCTTTAGATTTTCGAACAAACCTACCACCAGAAGCTGATGAAACTGAAGGGCCTTCCATTGGTAAATCTTTACCCCGAGGGACTTGGTTGGTATAGGGAACTGCTGAAGACTCGATTAGTTTTCCTTTTCCTTTGTCATTCCTATTATCAACACTCGCACCAGAATTGGGCACTGGCATTGTTTCTAAGGAAGTGTCCAAAGACTGAAGATCAGCATGAAGTGTCCCCTCAAGTATTCGTTGGATCACTTCTTCAGGGTTCTGATTATAAGCTACCAGACATGCAGCTAGAAACCCACTGCCATACTCAGGGAAGAGATCCTTTATTTGACAGATTTTAGACTCCAACATTGCAGCATCTTCATCTACTTCTGATACGTGGTTCATCACGGGGGGTTCCTTGGTATTAGATGTGGTGGTATACATCAGTATCGTCGATAGATAATCAAGTTGTTCATCATCGACAAGTACCCATCCTGTAAGAATAGGAAGAGTAGGCAAAACGATTCATGTCAAAATGCTATTTCTAGTGAGGAAAAGGAGATTAGTCCATACTCAAAATGCATTCCAGAAATCTGCCTATCTACTTTGTTTTTTCATTTTGTAGGCTCCATCCCTTGTGTAGGCGAGAGGAGAAAATTGAAATTTATTCTATTTTCAAGATATTCATTCATTGAGATCATACAAGTGCCATGATGGCAAACTCAAATCTTTATCTCACAGGACGACAGGAACTAAATCCGACACAAACCATGCATAAGATGTTTTATGGTCTAATGATCGACTATTTCAAGCATGAGCAATTAGTAGCAAAAAAATTCAAATAATGTTACTCTCTTATTTATTTGTATGTTGCAGCACCAAGGAATGTATTACCAACTATAATTTACCCTATATGTAGTGGAAATACGACTTCCGTCAAGAAAACTTACCATTGTTTCGTAAACTGTTGATTCTGTTCATTATGAAGTGGTTCTTTTCCATACGCTGGAGGAATGTTTGACCAAGTTGTTTATCTGGAACCTGTTGCGAGATTCCGTTGATTTCTCTCAAAGTTTGAATCAAAATATCTGCTCTTATGACAGGATCTTCTACATTTGCTGGAAACATCTTCATGGAGACTGGAACAGGGAGGTCATTTCTAAACACATCGTCCCCTAGATAGCAAGCTTCCAGCAGTTTCCAACCAAATCTCACAATTCTTATTGCTAGCATTTTCAAACTTGTTGCTACATTAGAAATCATATCATCTCCTCTAGGAACGAAGACAATTTGGAATCCCTGCTGTAAAGATGGAAGTAATAAATCATGCAACCTAGCAAGAGTTCCGAGCAAATCCTCATTCCCACAACTGCAAAACAAAATTAAAATTAATTGTGTAGAGAGTGAGAGTACATGTTCAAAGACTACTACAAGCTTCCCAAGGTGAAAATTCAGAACCAGAGACTTTGATCAAATATAAAAATACCTTACTTCAACTGCAGAGGAGAAGAATATAGCTGCCGATCTGTATGCAGTGACATAGGAGTCCAGAGTCACAATTGCATCATTGATAAAATCAATCACCTATCCAGAAAATTAAGTTAGTAATTGCCACAACAGAAAGTGACGTATAGAGGTTTATTTGCCCTTGCATCAAAGAATGTTGAAAGGACAATAAAATGAAGGTTCAGAAATTATTCCATTTTTTAGCTTAATTGAATAATTAACTATGACCTGATAAATTGAGTTTCAACTAATTCCTTGAAGAAACCCACATTGGAAATCATGAAGGCAGCTACATAGTTGATTAGATGAAAATGACATGAGAAATGCAATCATTTATTATTGGTATTTTAAACGAAAACTCTTCATCAAATGAAAGGACACACTGGTAAGCTACGTATAATATCTAGCCCTTCTTGACACAATAAATTCACAAACGTGGAAGAGAGAGCGTTAATCTAATATCCAGCATTTCCCCCCTTGTTTAAGTCCACCTACCTCCAAGAAGTCAGCTTGAAGCCTACTGTACCCACTTTCCCCATGGCTATTGGAGGAAAAGAGAGTCTGCATAAAAGAAAATGACCCCGTGATGAATAAAGTTCAAATTTTAGGTCTGTACAACACAATTTGCACATGGTACTTCATAAAATCAATAAGACAATTATTTGATAAACTATTCTTCAGAAATAAAGGGGAAAGAAAAAGAGGAAAAAAAAGCAGTAAAATTGTCTAAAGCAATGGAAGTCCATAATGAGAGGTTCAACAGCACTGTTCCCCGGCATGGACATACACATTGGTGTGTATATCATCCAGAGTTGTGGAGCAAATAAAAAAGTGAAACATGTGCCTTTTTGTGTAATGTTTTGGCAGTGCAACGATATGATACCGAGGGTTCGTCGCAAATGAGAAATAGCAAAAATTCACTCAATAAGTGATTTGACCTTGAAAATGCTTTACGGTATTTTTCTAATGTTGTCCTTAAGGCCAAAAGTTTGCACCCAAGGTTGAGAAGTTCTCCAAGTCTATCTTTTCTGGTGTCAATTCCAAGCCTTGAAGAGGATACAAGGAAAAATAAATAAATAAAGCTTCCCAACTGTGGTGGGTCACCCATTAAAGAAAGGAGAAGAGATATTTTGGCTTCAATTTATAAGAGCTTTCTTTCGGTCTCTTTGGCTAGAGAGAAACAATAGCATATTCAATGACAAAGTAAGGCCCTTCCTTGACCCTGAGATTGGTTATGAAGCCATGATAAAATTGGGAGTACAACTAGTTGGGTAACACTCCATTAAATGTCCTCTTCCTCAGATTGTACATTTTTGCCTTTACTTCAAAATCCAGCATAAAGAACCCCCAGTTTGCTTCAGATAGCAGCCAGAATCTTGGCTTTGGGTGCAACTTCAGAGATACAAAACTACAAGAGTGGCTATCTTTATCTTCTCTGCTTCAACTGGTCTCCATTTCCTGAGATAGAGATCGAAGACTCTAGAATCTTCATACTTTGAAGTCCTCTTCACTGTCAACTCCTTACTAAAAGTTATCATCCAGTGCTAAGATCTCCAACCTTCCTCTTTACAAATATGAGGCTTTATGGAAAGGAAACTATCCAAAGAAAATTAATTTCTTCCGGTAGGCTCATGAGGGATTTGAATACCTCTAATAAAATTTAGAGAAGGAACCCCGAACCCCTTCAACTTGCTCAAGCCAAAATTAGTGTATTCTTTGCAAGCAGGTTAATGAATCTGTAAATCATACTTCCTCCACATGTTCTGTTGCTTCTCAACTTGAAGTGCTTCCTCAAGAGTGAAGACCTATCATTTATAGTGCGTTTCTACTTGGAAAGTCAGCCAACTTCTTCAACAACTCCACGGCCATCGTTTCACCTTTTCAAGGGAAACATATTTTGGTCAAGTCACATGAGAGCTATCCTATGGAATATTTGGCTTTCGAGGAACAAAAGGCTCTTCTTAAGCATAGATGGTAATTTTGGCTCTTATGTAATCACTCTTCTTCTATAGTTCTAGCTAACAAGAGAATTTTTTGTAAACTCCTCAGTCCTCTGCTTGAGAGGAGGAGATCCCCTGTCTTCCCATCGATTTTAGTATCTTTCTTATCACCAAAATTGTCTTCTATTTCTTACAAAAAAGAAAGAGGTACAAAAGGCCAATTAACTTTTAGCTGTTACAGGGAATACCAGAGTATAGCCTGGGACATCAAATATCAACGCAACATATTAATTTAAAAAATACCTCAAGAGATGAGCTGCACCTTTGATGCATCATAGAGACAATGCCGAGGAAGTGAGATGCAACTGATGATAAATTTTCATGAATACTAGGCTGCAAATTCATAGCATTCTCAACCTGAATAATGTGCAAAGGCAGTTTCAAATTTGGACTTAAAATAGAAGGGTAACATATAGCATTTCACTAAAATCAGCTAAAAGCTCCCCGTATCCTTTTCCTTTCAAATTTTCAAGAACACTATGCTGGGATTTTAAAGCATACTCGACCAGGAAAATGCGTTGAGGCAGTTTCTCATATTTCAACTTACAATAGAAAAGTAACATATGATGCTCCACTAAAATCAGCTGACATATTCTATTATCTTCTTCTTTTTATTCCCTGACCTTAATAATCAGCAGCTAAAGCATCAATAAAGTAGATAAGAAGAAGAGAAAACATTTTTATAATCAATCTTCCACAGACAGAAAAGTTCTATATCTGTTGCAGGCTGCAGCCTGTTCTCAGTTTCTACTTTCCAGTGTTAGTTCACAAACAATTACTCATCTATGTCTTCTGGAAAATTGGTAATTCTCTCTCTCCTCAAGTGATAGTTTCTAAAATAATCTAATAAACCTCCAAAATCATTATGATAACTGCAAGAGAAAAATACTACATCATAACATCTAAAAGCTCCAAACTTGTGCATGTATAAATGTGAATTAAAACATGAACATGCTGAACTAGTTGACCTTTATTATCCAAAAATTAGAAGATCTGAAGCAACAGAGTACAAAACGTTGGAGACATCATGTGATCATTACGATGATAACCAATAGGAGCTACTAAGCCAGATGATTACCAGTATTCTAGTTAAATCTTCATTCTCGTGACTATATATAGCACATATATCAAGTAACTTTGGAAGGTCAAGCAACTTCTTTCCCTGCAGAAGAACTACATGCAAAATTAGTGAACAACAGTGTACCACTACAACAAAATTGATATAAACTCCAGATCGTCCTAAGAACATTTGAAGCTATTCAAAGTAAAATACTCTTGACCAAACTAAAAATATTTCAAAAAGCTCACATGATTCTTCCAACAACCTGTTAATAAATATTTGTACAAACGTGCAACAACAGTAAGCTGCATATCATAACATGCAGAATCAGGACTGTAACAGGTGCATCAAATTTCATTGAGCTCATTTCTAATTATCAAATAAACAAAAATTTTGAGCCGCTGTTCATAGCATAAAGGCATCAGCAATTTCAAAGTCTGAAAAAGAATGGTATTTTACTCGAGGCTCAAATGACCTTGGAGCCTGGGCACCAGGTGACATCACAGCTTGAATAAGGTGAGATGCACAATGCACAAAGTACAAAAAGCACGCCTAGAAAATACTTAAGAAGCAAATTAATCTATCAAGCGACAAATTTTATTATCTTCGAAGTTGCTATTGAAACAAATAAAAGAAAAGAAAAAGGAGAAAATACATATTTCCTCATCAACAAATAAAAGGAGTAAAAACAACTAAACAAGAAGAGAAAAAGCTTAAGGAAGAGCACTGGTAGAAAAAGGGAAATAGAAGAAGTATTTGGAGTATCTAGAAAAAAAACCATGGACCACATTGACAAAAAAATCTTAAAGAAAGACATTCATTTATGAGAAACTGAGAAGATAGTAGCGTGTTAAATGCAGGAACCTCACTCATCATTTAGAGTGGATACATGAAGCACAAGGTGCACCTGACGCATCCCTAAAGGTCCACCTAGTGGCTATCCATGATTTTTAAAACAGTGTAGAATCTTAATTGAACGTTAAACACATGATTTTCATGGCTACTGTACAACCAACAGGAAAAAGATGTTCAATCATCCTATCCATATGTGCACTAATATCATAAGCAAGGTATAAATAAGTATCTGCTCTGAAGCACTATGCTTTTGTTGCCTCATGGAACCCTTTGTTCTCTTCATTTATTTCTTCTATACTCCATTTAGCTTTCCTAATTTTTCATATAACTGGTTCGACTCTTCGCACTTTTGTCAGATTCAATTTGTTGAAACAAATCTTAAGACAGGATTTAATATAGCCCCAATTGCATAGTGATATGATAAACAATTATAAATATTGTTCGGAAGCCATGCTAGACTATAAATCTGAACAAGGCAACGTTAAAATAGACAAAGTGAAATCACCTCCATGATCTTTTAAACTGAGGCTGTCAGCAGCTCGTGCTCCAGGATCCCTATTGGAAGACCTGAGGAAAAAGGTTTTAGAAGGGGAAAAAAAAAATCTGTCGATAGTCATTCAGTGATGCATTAATGTTCAATGTAAATATAACTTAGTAGTGGAACTTACATGCGATATAATACCATGAAAACACGGCGGCTTAATTCAAGTTCTCCAACGATGACCCCTGCAACTAATCCATTTGCTCCACGATGAGGGAAATCATACCATCTACTCCTGAACTTTAGGAAGCTATCGAGAAATTCATGCAAGGAAGTATCCTTAGCCACTGCAAGGAATAAGACAAAAGGAACAGAAGAATCAATCAGCCGACTATAGGATGATTACCTTCTACCTTTACCTATCATCAATACATCAAAATCATATAACAAGATTAAGACTTCCTACAGGCAACAAGAGACAAGCACCACGTATGGAGAACTTTTATGGAAGGATATAAGGAGACAAGCCTTCAGCATTATATCCATATTACCATCAAAATATACTCAACGCAAGTAATTCGTGTCTCTATCCATAAAATTACTCACAGGAACACATGATACCAATCAATATAAAAATCATAATACCGACTGCGTGATAATTGGGAGAATAATCTTCTAGCTAGATTCATCATCGTAAGAAAAAGTGATATTGAGACAAAGATGCCCACAAATTCCGTTAATTGTTACTGAATCAGAAGCACGCGTTCAGAAACGTTATCTACATACCTTCTGTCCAAAACTCTTTAGCACTCAACTTGAGCAGCCGAGACAACTCTCTGTTCAAAAGGTCGACGACTCTTTGAGATTCCACCGGATCCAACGCTCCATCTTCGGCACGAAGACCAGTGGCAACAGCCTCGTCCTGTGGCAAGTAATTCACAAAACTTCCACCACTAGCTCCGCTAGACACCCAATCTCCATTGGCACCCATCTGAATCCTACTCATTGATGGCGCAGTAGCAGTGGTTACAGCAGCAGAATCGGATGGCTTCGGTAGCGATTGTCTGAGAGAAGTGGAAAGCGTAGGTTTAGGGTTGGGGAGTTGTTTTGAGGCATGATTTTGATTCTTGGGTATGTACTTCCTCTGGTCTTTCCTTAAACCCTTGTTTGCGTCTTGGTTGTACCGATTCGACATTCTGTTTTCAGATGACTTCTTCGTTGGTTCGTTGATTATCAGATACTGATAGCAAGAAGAGCGCGGCGGGTCGAGAGGAGGAGGAAGACGAATCGGTTGGCTTCCGTATTTATACCTTTCTTGGACTCTGTTATTGGCGGGTGCCGAGTGGCCGCGGCGGGGACTTGGGTTGGGAATTCGCTTTGGTTTCCGACGAGACGAGCGGCACCTTGGTCTTCCAGAGCTGCTTTTAGATATGAAAAACCATATTTAAGAATAGTAATTACATTATCGTTTGAAACGTTAAATTATAATTTTGGTCCATTTTTTTTAACTAGATCCAGATTTAAATGTTATTTTGGTTCTTCTTCTTAGTAAAATAAACATACTATTTTGATTAAAAAAACGTTCATTTTTATTCTAAAAACAGATCAATAGTCTCTGTTGGTAAAATTTTACCAAATTTCTCTTTAATATAAATTTATGATTACCTTTCAAAATTTTTTATATATACATCAAAATAAATATTTCAAAATTATTTGGACCAAAATAAAAAGTACAATAATCAAAATAGTATTTAAATTAATTTTTAATTATTTGTCTCAAACCGATCATTAACTAATCTCCTTACACGACAAATTAATTCAATCGGTTTTAGAAGATTTAGGCATCATAAATATAATTGCTGACTGTTCGAAGACATTACTAAACAAAGTTCAAAAGCCTATTCAATTTAGTTTCTAAAAAGTTTATGAACATTTTAGGTTAGATGGAACAAAAACTTATTAATTCATGGAATAGAATTACCTTATTAATTCATAGAATAGAATTACCTCCGCACATTGTAAATACATGCTACTGTATACATAAGCTTTACACATTATTAAACTCCCACAATCTTTACTTTTCATGTCTAGAACTGATTCGACCTGTATCGCTTTTCCTAAAAAAAAGTTAAATCACCTTGTCAACAAATGACCATTATTTAATTTCATCAGTTTCCAAAATTCTTTTCAATTCTGCTTGAACAAAGTTAAGGTGAACACGAAAGGAACCAACCTAAACCGTGAACCTAGCTTAATTGATTAAAACATATATTCTTGACCAAAAATTGTAAGTTCGAATTTCCACCCACGTATAATAATAACAAAAAGAAAAAAAAAAGAAGTGAAAGGTCATCTATTTTGAAAAAAGTTGCCACCTTGAGTGAAATTCCTAACAAAGAGAGTCAAAATTTGTATGTTTCGTACAATATTAACATACTCTCATCTAGCGCACAAACATGATGACAGCAATAGGCGTGGTGTCGTATTATACTCTTCATTTCCCATTTGGCACAAGATTGCGAGCAACCATAATCAAACCCATTCGAAGTTCGTTTCTTTGGGAAGAACCAAGGCAATCAGGCTATCTGATGGACCTGGTGGAATTGAGAACAGAGAACACGATTCCTGTGAATATGGAAGTATGAAGAGAAGCCTTGTCCATAGGGATTTGGTGGCCGGAATCTTTATTACTCCGGCACAATCCCTCTGCTTCAAATATGACACAAAATCTTGGAACTGCCAAAATAACAGCGAATAATTTTTAAAATGTAGAATAAAGGTAGCCTGTAGCCATGTCTGTTCCTCCTAAACATTCAAGTGGCAAACATGCATTGCATGCAAAATGCAAATAGTAAACATATTTTCTGTCGAGGCACCGGTTAGAAAACAGAGATCAATTATTTGAAATAGCTACTATAACCTCCAAGGATATGCCACTAGTGGGAATAAACCTTTTTCCAAAGAACTAAAGAAAACGAGACAAATTTAAAACGCAAAGGTCTACTTACTCCTTTATGGTCTCCACCAGAAGATGGGATAAGCTGACATATCTCCCTCTGTAAAGAAAAAATTAAGATGGGAAACCATTAAAATAAGCACTAAATGGCTAGAGAAATGCGAGAATTAATAAGGGGATGAAAAACGGCTTTGCATCTACTAGATCTAGACCAAGTCTGCGACATATTTGCAACAGAAAGAGGAGCTATCATAAGCTCCAGTGAGCTTCTTTTTATCTTAAGAATGAGGTACTTGCTTTATTTGGTGAACTGCTAGTGAATGTCGACTTCACATGCCTAAAATCCGTGCGTTTGGTCATATCCAATTTTGCCGGCCACCTGCACCAACAATTTAAGTAAAATATCAGCAGCAGCAGATGTAAGGAGAAGAAACCAGCAGCTGAAATTGAAGAGGAAAAGGGACAGGGTCTTTACTCAATGGGTTCTGCACCAGCATTCAAATATTTGCAAGTATGTGAATCCACTCTTTTTGCATAAATCGTACAGTACTGAACCCCGCTTTTACACAGTGCTCCTTGCCATTGATACTGAATATGCTGGCTGCAACTTTCAACTTCACTTGTTCCTGTAGAAGCTAAGGGTTGAGGTGGAGGTGGAGGAGAACTGGGTGGAGGAGGAATATTAGGTGGTTGTGAGTGAGGCAAAGGTGGTGGAGATGGAGGCATGGGAGGAAGCCTCTCGGGCTGGGGAGGTGGTAGAGATGATATTAGTGGTGGAGCCAGATGGGGAAAAACATGATCTAGATGCTGCGGCATTGAAGTTCCCTGTATCTGAGCAAGAGGTGTCACAGAAGCAGGTAAAAAGGGAGGGCATGCAACAGAACTACCCGGAAAAGTATTAGGCATAACACTTGGTGATATTGGATTTAAGGGCAAAGGATGATTTAAACCCCTTGCATCCCAAGAACCATTTGGAGGAGGGTATGGAGATCGCACAAATGGAGGTGGCTGAATCTGTGGTGGAGGAGGTGGAGCGGGAGGCCCCATTGTTGATATGGGCAAGCATGGAATGCTTCCAGACACCATGTGTCCACCTAAATAGAATATTAAACTACTAACTAAATACAAATACAAGAAGCAGTAACTTTAAATGATGTCCATCATTTTTTTATTTTTGCAGTTAAACAGCATATAATGGGGAAGGGGGAAGGAAAAAAAAAGGAAAGTCACCAACAGTAGATATCACCTTGTGGATGATCTATCAGTAGGTTTTTTTCATAAGCATCAGTCTTTCTGACCCCTACTTCAGGAATCTCTGCATGACTAGGAGCCCAGTTGGATTGATATGAATATCCACCTTGCTGAGCTATTGGATGATTCTCATGTATTACTCTAGGAGATGGATGCTCCATAGCACAACTATCGTGGTTCCTCAGAAAAGGTGTAGTATGGAACCTTCCGGGTATACTGTTCAAATACAGAAGAAATACTTTAATGACAGGCTAAATGCAACCTGAACAGCAGATAATGTAGGAGTAAGAAAAGATGCAAAATAGAAGACAGCCGAGTGTAACTGAATTTAAGAAGTAACAGCTGACTAAACATGATAAAAATATCTTAAATTCTTTAAGAATATGATCTAAGGTTCTCGCAAGTAGAACTTAAATGTAGGAGAGGGGGGACCTCAATACTGCAAAGGAAAATTCGAGGACAACCACAGAATAATATTTTTATGTGGATAAGAGACAAAAGAAGATATATTAACACAAGAACAAAAGAACATTCCAGGGGCAGGAGGAATAATATATAAAACCAACAGCTCCTGAAACATGACGAGAAGATCTTCTACAAAAACAAAACGTGAGAAAGTTAAGGTGGGAAAAACCTGAATTCTATTCGAAGGAAAATTCCAGGACAACCACGGAGATTCTTCAAGACAGTGATTGCAGCATCTACACTGCTGCACTCAATAAACCAACCACAGCCCACCTGTACACTTGCCCGAGTCAACCTGACAACAGACCCAGTATTGGAGATGGCAAGACTACAGATGTTCATCAACTCCTCATCAGTGACAAAAGGAGAATTAAAATTCGGGAAAGAAACCCAGAGAGTGCTAGTAGGGGTTCTGTCTTCTTCCCTCATGGAAGTGTTGCAACCTCCAGATATGTAGTTTTCAAAATAACTTGAGTTTTGATTGATGTTGTATTTTGCACGTAGTGTATAGAGCAAGGAAGAAAGGTCTGACATTCTTGTCCTGAAGTTAGGACTCTCTGGGACAATGGGAGCATGAGGTGACCCAACCATACCACTTGGCATGTTTGCAGGATTGTTACTTCTGATGCTACCACGAGTATGGGCACAAGCAGTTCTTCCAATATCTAAATAAGGCATGGCGATGTTAGTCTGTCCTGCATTTGAAGGGGGCCAGTGAATATTCCTTTCTCTTCGATGTTGTCTGAGATGTGTCATTACAACTGCAGCTTCTTCAGGAGTCTCAAATTCCATCAGTAATGCTCCCTCACTGCTAAGATCAGAGACCATGTATGGACCCTTGTTCAGCACTTTCCTTGTCTCATGCAGAATCTCATCCTTCAACCAGTGGCTCAAAACACTTCCAACATAAACATGAGAACTAGAACCGATTGCAACCCCGTGGGTAGAACCCCTAGTACCTAAACCAATATCCATGAATTTTACACACCATTGAAATTGTCCACGCATATATTCACGTGCCCTTATGGCATCAATAATGTGACCATACTCCACTAATGCAAATCTTTTTAATGGAAAGAAGAAAAAATGTTCGATGTAACCAAACCTCTCAAATTGATACCTTATATGACCCTCAGATGCATCAGGGGCTAAAATACCTACCCATAGCTGTTTAGAAGCAGAGAAGATCTCCATGGCTGATGGATCTCCATCAGAAAACCACAAACTCTGAGAAGTGGTAGAACTACATGTTGCTGATGATTGATGTCTAGGAGGCACAAGATCACTATTGATATCTCCAGTAGACACTCTCTGGGTAGGAAATTTGCGGTCAGCCTTTGAAACTTGATTCACATCACCTGAATGCTTTGTACATTCAAATGAATTGCCCTCCGGGTCTAATGATGTTTTCGCAAAAGACAAATAATCATGCTTGCTAGCATCCTGGGACTTGGGCAAGCTGCCATGTAGCAAGCCTCCAGGCTCCTGAACTTCAAAGGCCATGGGTCTTAAGCCACCAGTATCAAAATCAGAACACGTGGTGTGCTTGCCATCAAGAGGAATTGATGAGCGATGTTTGTCATTGACACCATCTTCAAGGGAATCACAATGTCTCAACTTTCTCTTTTTATCAGATAGTTCAATGGAAATTTCACATGAATTATGAGTAGAATGCTTCAAGGAATCAGTAATTTCCTCGTCAATATTCACTTGACTGTCTTCATTGTTCATTAACTCAGAGAATGATTCAAAAATTCCTTCCAGAGCAGATTTTACATCTGTTAAAGCTCTAAAGGAAGGCAAGTCAGAGAACCTCTTATACTGAGTAAACATCCAGTGTCGAAATGATTGATCTTTTCCAAGTACCTGCATTCAAGAACCCCTAGTACAATGATACATGAATGAGGGGGGAAAAGGAAAGCCTTGTAATATGAACCATATGCAAGAATTTATTCCTTCATGAGTTCCAGGGAGTAGGGAGAGAGAAAATAAGAAAATAAGTAGTTAATCGGCCCATAAATAGTGATTTGTTAATAATCCCAGTTTCAACCGGTGACCATATATTTCACACATGGAGTCCTAGTATGCATTAATGTGTAACAGTAATCAATCAATCACAAGTTGAAGAGAAAAACAGAAGTGAATTATACATAATATCCTGATTTTTGTCGACCAAAATGTTCATTATATTTTTCAAGTTCCAATACATCATTAAACTCCTGAGTATGTTAGGATTTAGGAAGACAGCTCTGATACAGCTCTCCTCTAACCCAGCCTGAACAATTGAGCATAAATAGTCTATAATTCTATATTTTTATCAAGAAATTAAAGACTTGCTGCTCATTCCTCGTGGAGATAGACAAATGTTAGATCATACTACTGTAGATTTATTTCCATAAAATGTAATTATGTAATGAATAACTAGCTCAAACACAATTATGGTCATTGATTAGATAATTATAGGTCACATAACTAAAATTTCCAAGTTTTTCATGCAATGCGACTGAAATAATTCAAGAGGAGAATAATGTCTCACTCTAATTACAGAAACAAAGACCATGAAACACCAATCCCCCCCAACCAGGGCATTGTCGTAGCATCTTTTTAAGAGTCCAACCTCGGGATATAAATAAATTATAGTGAAGGCAAAGATGAGCAGCCATGATACTGTAGTCTTTAAGATTATTGTCTACATGTATAAGGACACAGTCAATAATAATAATTAAGAGAAAGAAAACATAAGCATTACCAAGCTCAACATGCAGTTCCTTGAAGCAGAAAATGCATCAACAGAGAAGTGGCTACTAACTGAAATTTGCTCCTTAACCCCATCCTTGCCGCATTTGGGGCTTGTCCTGTTGTCACTTCTTTTATCCGACTGATGGGTGATGTCATCATCGAGCCCAAGTATAATCTGAGTTAGAAAATACAGCCCATCCTTGTGAACTACCTCGGTAGACATATTGAAAAGTTCAAAACAAGCTGCAGCTAAGTTTTTAGGGTAATGAAAGAATAGCCAGAGGAGACTGATAGCACGTAACTTGGATAGCTTCATCACCGGCAAAATATTTTCGTCAGTATATTTCTGCTTTAACTCAGTGAAAACATCAGTAGAATCTTGAATTTTAAGAGCTTCCTTGTCTACAATCTGAAAGATATCTTTACCCTCAAAAGATGACATAAGGAAGGTGAAAACATTCTGAAAGACTGCAAAGCAAATGCCTCTGATGACAGATGACGTAGGTGCCTTAGATATTACAGCAGCACAAATCTCAACTAGACCAATAATACAAGCCCTCGCCGTCTCAAATGCAACATTATCAACATCCTCCCCATTATTTATCATTTCCAAGCTCTGATTGTGCATATTGATAATAACTTTCGTTGCAGCTTCAAGGGCAGTTGGACAATGAGATGCATATCGAGGAATGAAGTCGGCCACAATACGCTTCACACTGGTGCATCCTGCAAGTTAACAAGCATATTGCAACATAGGTGAGAGAAAGCCCCAGGAGGAAGAAGTAGCTGTTAAGATTTGAACTGAAGATGGCTCATTTTTCACAAAAAAATTTCTCATCCGTTCATTTCCCAATCTGATTCAAATCCAACACTAAAATTATAGTCAAATGCTACATGGATCACCAGTATGATGTTCCCCACTATGTCTATACTCCCATTTCAATTCATTGTTGAACAGACTTCATAACTTATTCTAGTGGAAACTAACGGGAGAAATCATTTTAAAGAATAAAGAAGTATCAGAAATAGTACTCCGCTGCATGTATATAGTTTCAAATTTCAAAGGCATATTGATGTCATTGCAAGTCGTTTGGGATTAATTAATAAACAAAATGCGGGGTGTAAAGTAGCAGCCGCATCTAATCTTTGGACGTGTTAATTGGTTTCTAGTCCATATTCCGTAGGTCGCAATCTACAAGCTGGAACTATAAACTCTTCAACAGTACTTGAAGGATTTCTAATATATAATTTGCTCCAGAAAGAAGTACTATGTTCTGACTCTGGCTCTGGCACACATAAGAAGCGTTTAAATCAACAACATTCCTCTCCACATCGTAAGTGTTGTGAAACCCTAATTTGACACTTAAAACATAAAAATTGAGTCCTAGAATACCGGAAATGATATAAAATGCCAAGAAGGAGGAAGAGAACAGGACACTGACCCCTGGAAGCAGTGATGAGAGAAAGATATGCTTGCTCAATATCTGGCGTAGGGGCGCCTTTCTCCTTCCGGGAAAGGAAAAACCTAATTCGCTTATAACATTCATAGACACTTCTAATCTCATCCCTGTTCCTCCTTCTGATGAGGATTTCCGCGTGGGACAGCTGTGGTGGAGTAGGAGGCGGTGGAGCGGCGGACGTCTGGTCCGGCGCTAGGATTTCCGGTGGCGGTGTCGGTGGCTGAGCCGACTGCGGAAGTGGCGGCGATTCTGATGAGGGTCCGTAGTTCCTGCGCTTCTTCAGAGGCTGCTCCGCCGAGGCCATGGCCCACTGCGAGAAAGAAAGACGCGCGCGCGGTCTCTGATAATTTTTTATGACAGTTAGGGTAGGAATTCAAGTTCCTTTTTTTTTCTTTAAGCAAATGGCATTATTTTCAGCGGTATTTCTTTTATTTTATTTTTCTTTCTTTCTTTTTTTTTTCTTACTGAATCAGTATTTCATATTAATATTTAGTTTCGTTTGGTTAGTTCAACTTTAATTGACATATCTATTTGATTAAGAAACCTGTTTAATTTAAAGATATGAATATTATCATTCTAAAATACATTGACTAAATCATCTTTTAAATTAAAATATCCAGATAAAAAATTGTTTCTTTTATAATCTTGATTCATTTAATTTGTTGTTATTTATTTTATTTAATTTAACCAAATGTTAAATGTTTACCACGATTTTTTAAGGAATGAAAAATTCAAACATCGATAAATTATGTTCCAAATAGATCAAACACACATATTCTATAAACTTTATCATGGTCTATGTTCACTAGAAAGGTAATATTATATAAATAATCAATTGAAATAACTTTTATAAAATTTAATTTTTATTATTTTTGATATAATATGTGGGGTTGGGGGTTTGAATTCAGATAAGAGATAGGTGCCTTAACCACTTGAGCTATGTTCGGTTATAAAATTAAATTTTTATTAACCAGTAGTTTCATAAAAATATACGTAGTTTTAAATGTTCTATTATACTTTATTTTGGTTAAAATTAATTGAAGATGGACCTAAGTATTAGTTATCTTTTAATTGATTAATTAATTTACCATAATCTATTTGTTTCTTCGATTATTTAATCATATATATATATTAGTACAAGATTCAATCATATTTAACCTAATAAGCAATTAAGTTAGTATCATTATTCCTGGTATATTACAAATCTGTAAATACATAAGGTTATGGATTCATTTAAATTTAATCCAATATGAGTATCACATTTATTTATATTTTTTAATACAAAAGTACGTGGGAGCGACGATTCGAACTCATAACTTTTTAATCAGGATATTCTAACCCGTATAAATTCAGATTCTTATCATATGGATCGTGCATTTACAAAAAAAAGGGTCATGAAACATGAAATGTTACCAAAAAAAAAAAAAAGAAGAAGAAAAAAGAAGAAGAAGAAGAAGAAAAAAAAAGGGTAATTTTAGTTTCGTCATAAAAATGAAGAAAGCCTCTGCTGGAGACCAATATCCATCCCATTGTAAGCGATTGGAGCATACATCCACAACTCATCAGAGCTCAAAAGCTGCAACAGAAATAATTCCTCATATCGATCACATAATTATCAATAATTAATTAGCAAATTTCAATGACCAAATTTGAAGTCTATACCTTTATTTGGAGCTGCAGAAATTTCACATAATGAACTGCTTCCTCAAGCATTGTGCTAATGTCAACCTGTCAAGTAATCCATTTTATCAACACCCATTATCAAAAAGTTCACAACTTTAATTAACTCCATTTGAAAAAATGAAATGTAGTAATTTGTTGATGAACTTGGCTTATTTATTAAAGTTATACCTTTGTTCCATTTGGGACAAGTTTCTGCAGGATTCTGAGCCGCTCGTTGATCCTCTCCCTTCTCTTCTGCAATATTAATTGGGGTGAAATCAGACCAAAAGTTCAATATAATTATGGATCAAAGTTTTTTCTTTGGTTGTTCATACCCTTGCGTAAAGACTCTGTGGATCAGTTGCCGAGCCTCTAGAGGCTCTGGTCTTGGCTTTTGGGGGCTCGGCCTCGGCCCGATCATGGCCTCCATTAGTTAATTCCTGTGAAGCATTTTCATCCTCTGATGAGTTTTCACTGCTGTAACTGTTCATATGATCAGACACTCCATTTTCCTCTTCTTCTTCGCATTTCCGCCCGCGACTCCCCAACTTCTGCATCGTCTTCACATTTGGCTTCCTAGTTTTCTGTACCTAAATTAATTTTTAAAACTGTTAATTACCACTCCATTCAAAAGTGGATAAATTATAGTAAACTGTACTAATTTAGTCACTGGGATAGTAGGTTCGGCATGAGAGAATACACTTCAAATTACTCCGCCTCTTTTAAGAGAGAATAATATTTTAGAATAGTTTGAAGACCCTTATGTTCTAACTCTAAATACATGAAATCCCCACTAACTCCAAAGTTTCTCATAAATTATGGGAATTTATTTTGTTTATTCATATTCTTAATGTTCACCCATCCCATGACTTTAAAAATTAGCACAAAGAATCAAATGATAATGATCTTGATCTTTAATGGATGATTTGAGCAAAAGAGATTAAATTATAATTGATTTTATAATGGTGATTTTTATATAATTATTTTAATGTTTGGTTACACTTTTTCAAGTGGTTTTGATATAATTAAAAATGATTTTGAATTATTAATATTTCAAGTTTAAAAATAGAGAATTTGAAAAAAAAAAATAGAGAGAAAGGAAAAGTTAGACAGAAATCAAAATCTAGAGAGAAAAATTCCATAAGATGAGAGATAAAAAATTGGAGAAACAAACTTAGAAAAGATATTAGAACTAAAAAGGTAGAGAGATATTACAAAACAAAATCTAAGACCATTCTACCTAACTAAAAATGATACTCCCAAACATGTAATTATGTGTGATTACCAATATTAATTGAATTGGAAACGACAATATAAATACTATGCTAAATCTTCCCTAAAACCAACAAATTTTAATGTTTTAGTCACATTGAGATTATATTACTCACATTGTTTGAAGTTCGAATCTTCTTTTTGGGGACGTGGAGATTGTTGTGATCATCATCAGCAGGGAGATTTGATTTCCTTTTTTGGTGCAACAGTTGATTTGGGAGAATGCTATGTTCATCATGGCCACAAAAACCAGTCATCTCTTGCACTAAAATGGACTCCATATTCTTCATCTCTTCCATGGCAATGCCACCACTGGCTATGGAGTGATCATCAGCAGCAATACAACAAGGAATTTGATCCACAAAATTATTGGCGTAATCCAAAGAACAAAACCAAGCATCGGCCCCGGCGGGAGGACTATTATTAAATGGCGCAAAATCAAGCTCTTCCAGTGATAAAATGGAGCTGCAAAAATCCCATTCCCCAAAACAATCCATATGGCTAAAATTTGTCGTCGTACAAATTTAAGTGCGAATTATAGTTTGTGGTGTTGGTGAAAGCAGAGGAATTGGAAGCTGGGGTTTTATACGCTGTGTAATGCAATTAATTAGATTTTGACTTGGATTTTTAATTAGTTAAATGGCTTGAATCCAATCATTGCTCATTAAATGGATATAGTCTGAATTATAAATTTGGGTAATTAATCGTACGATCGAGTTGGCCAAGTTCATGCAATCATAGGCTTGAAATAATAAAATTAGCGAGATGAACTAACTAATTATCAAAGGCTCCTTAATTAATCACATTTTGGAAAAATAATACTAAAAAATCAGCTTGAGAAGAACGAAGGGGATACTGAGCCACTGCTTATGCAGTTATGCTTGAATTAACAAGTAATTAAGGTAACATTAAGCATGTATTAAATATTGATGAGAGTTGAAAATTGAAAGAACGTGGAGGGTCTCTTTTTTTTTTATTCTTCTTTTTGGGAATATATGTAATGATATAAAATAAAGTGATAAATACAGTTAAGATGTCGGGTATACATCGTGGAGATGAGTTCTGATTGTTTCTGAAGTTTGTTTGAAAAGTACAATCAAAAGCCAGACAATATCAGCTTCAAACTCGTTCTGTGTCTGCTAATTTTCTGATGGGTTTTAATTAATTAAACCAAGTTTATGGTGTTCTTGTTCATCGAGTGGTGAGATGTAACATCATGCATTTCTAACCGTCGAACACAATTTTAATTACCTAGCTAGCTTTTGCTCTTGCTCCCAAAGTTTTTTCTGTCCATATTGATGTCTCTAAAGCCTTGATTTTTAATTTTAAAATTGGTAGAAATAGACTTCAATACTTTTGCTTTTAATTGCAGTTAGTTTAATAGTTGTCGTCCATACGTAGACGTACACAGTAGAGATAGTAGAGATAATTGTGAACGTAATTCTAGAATTCATAGAGGTGTTTATCATTTGATTCTGATTATTTTACATTTTCTTCAAAGTGATGTTTATATTCGTACTACTACTCCATCTATAGATAGCATTTGTTCTAGTTGATAAAGCTTTATTAGAATTTGTTTCCATAAATGGTCAGATGTTATATATTGTGTCTTGTTTTATAAGTCATGTGTGGTGTTCTTTTATTATTTGTCTGCTTTTAGTTGTGTTGTTTACTTTCTTGCTAGTGTTAGTTGTGTTGTTGACTTTCTTGTTACTCTACTATCGCCTTATTAGCAAGTATCTATTTGTTTCATTTGTGCGTCTTCTACGAGATACATTTGTTTCCTTTGCAATTATACTTAACTTTTGAATAAGAAAAAGTACTTTAATGATTAGTTTATTGGATTAAACATTGACCTAACTAAAATTTGGTTTAAATTTTATTTTAGTCTTTCAACTCTTAAAGTGTCTGTTTACTAACTTTTTCATTTTTTAAATGATTTTTCAAAATGGTTATTTTAATTATTGTGCCTTTTTTTAAAATATATTTCTCTACTTTTTTTTAGTACAACAACTATGGGATGTGCAGATGTAAGTTATTGATATAAAAAAAAATAAGTAAAGTGTATTTACTATTGAACATCTATATGTGCTGATGTTGTCAATTAGTTACTCTATCATAAAGTGCTCAACAGATGGACTCAGTGTGACTTTACCTATGTATACTAATATAATGTGCCAGTAGATACCTGTTTTGAAATCATATAAATTATTAAGATATAAATTAAGTATTGATAAGAGTATTTTGGAGATAAGTGAATTAGAAAAAAGTTCAAGGATCATAATAAATATATTAAAGCTTGAAGAAAAATATAGTTATATTTTAAAAGGTTTAGAAACACTAAACTAGACATACTTTTAAAATTCACATATACTGAAACAAAATAAACTTGAAAGATGATTAATTAAAATCGAGATTTAAGTGTTAATTCT